AATTTCCAAACCACTTTTTAGAGGGTGTGAAAGTTAACCTACAAATTATTTGTCATCCAATACAGTGCAGTTGTTGCCAAGTGATGGTGCATCCTCAGTAATCTATTGAAATTTGTGATCATCATAGGGAAAAACTGTCTGTGAAGAAATATCCCCTCCCTTACTTATCATATACACACTAATTACAGCTGTTCAAAATTTTCTTATTGTTAATCACAGAATTACCCCACACTAAAATGTGTCTGTATAATCTGGTTTTTTATTCATTACTCTTTTTTTTTGCCCTAGCTTTTTAAAAATGTTAGGGAAAACAGGGTTGTTTGAGACTAATGTTAAGTTATACCAGTAAAAGGCCTTTATGAAGCAAAGTCAACTACTAATTGCTTCATGTATCAGGCATAAATCAACCCAGTTTATTCCCAGGGTTTAAAGCTTAAGTAAACCTTTTATGTAAAAAACTTGATACTTGATATATTAAATCGATTTAACAACAAATGAATGAATAACATACATTATTTTTGGTAATATCAAAATTCTTGCCATAGTTTTCAGACTATTAATAATGTCATTTATAACATCTGAAATCCATTACAGAGAATTCTGAAGATATTACTTACCCAAAATAATGCACTTAAACAACATTTCTCCAGCCCCACTAGAACTTCAATGCAATCATATTTATTTATTATGTACCACAATAAATAATTTCAGAATGTACCTTAAGAAAACTTCTCTTTGTGTGCCATGCTGCACAACGAAATGGATATAGATGGTCTAGTCTGTCCTTGGAGGTGTGAGCTCCAGCACAAAGATCTTTGGCTCCTGCAAACCTGACTCTTGTTAGCTGGTCACCAATACATGGGACTTTAACTCCACAGAGTGGTTCTGCAGGATCTGGCACAGGACAAGCATGGGACGCAGGCTGATCAGGCTGTGATGGAGCATGAATTGCTGGTCTACCAGGTGGCAGTAGAGGTACATTCATTCCTACAGCACCAGATGCTTTTGTATGGATTTCATGCACCCAATCCTCAAACATGTCCATGACATCGACACAATCAGCATATTTCTTTTTGTCTTTCATCAAAACTGGCAATGTGATTACTTCTGATTTTCCTTTCATCTCGTCACTGTACTGATGAGGGATATGTTTTGGTATCAAATCAGCCAAAAAACTGAGTTTAGGAAAAGCTTTTGAAATTATGCGACCTGCATAAATACGGTAACGGTCTGCAATTTGACTTAATTCATCATCAGATAGTAGAAAAAACTCAAGATCAGTTGTCTTGATGTCCTTTTGTGGACCATTATCAGGAAGATGGTCTGAGGGAACTCGGTCAAAAACTAAAGAACTTGCCACTGCATGTTCAGACACATTTTGGTGCTCTTCACGCATGTCATGAGCCCTTATCTCCCAGTCAATGTTGTCTAAAACAATGGTGAATTTCTTTCCCTTTTTAGCCAATTCAATGGCATGGTCCAGGAAGTGATTTCCAATACCATCCAGGACAGTAGATTTCTTGGTTGGATCTAGGCAAACACCATACCTTTGAAATTCCTTCACAGCCTGAAAATTGTAAGATATTTGTTTTTTGTTGTGTATGGAAAAGCAGAAAGAAATAACAACTAATCTGACTGATTGTTGTAAGAAAGAGGGGTGTGTGGGGACACCCCCATGCTCACAAAAAGAAGAGGACTGACCAGGGAAACATTAGCCTATTCCAGGCCCTTGTTAGTGGAGGCAAACAAAAAGTCAGTTAATAAAAAAATGGTAATTGTCTTGAAAATGATTACAGAGAACCTTTTCCCTTCTCACCCAACCCCATTTTTTTGTTGTCTCCACCAACCAAGTGTCTAACAAGGAAACTTTCAGCCTGAGTAAAATTTCACAGAACTCTGGAGAGAGCAAGAAGGAAATGTTGTAAAAATTGGGGAACAAGGCTCTATTTTACTGTACCTAAGTAACACAAGTATGATATTAAGGTATAAATATGGGTTATTGACCAAGTTTGAGGTCAAGATGGCTGGATATTGGCCAAGTTCTTTTTTTTTTTTGCGAGTTTATGGACAGAGATGGAGTCGAGGTACATAAACTCACAAAAAAAGAACAAGGCCAATATCCAGCCATCTTGACCGAACAAGCTTGGTCAATAAAGGATTTATTATATGGCTTTCGGGGAAATTTTTCTTGCAGGACACGGCGGGTAGTCCCGAGCGGGCAAGATAGCCCCATCTTGCCCACTCGGGTAGCCAATCACAGCGCAGGATTTGATTCATCTTGCCCGCTCGCAGAGCTTGCCATATAATAACAGTCCTTTCTGACAAAGTTGATAGCAAAAGACAAAGTTTGGTCAGTTCATAAGAGAAAACATAAACAATTGGGACTTACAATTTTGCTTGTTCCACCATCACTAAGGATAATTGTATTTAATCTTGGCAACCTTGACAATTCTGGCACTCTGAGGAACATTGAAATAGAGTACATCAGACAAACTGGTGGCATTTTTTTTTTCATCAGCATCCTTTCCATTAACAAGGGTTCTAAGGAACTGCATTGTGGCTGGACATTTGCTTTCTATTTTAATATAGATTTCTTTCCAGGAAAGATCTGATAAGCCTCCATATTCCTTCTTCCTGAGGACAGAGTTTTCTGATCGTCTACACATATTGCTTATCGCTTCATTGACAGTTCTGCAAACAATATCTGTCATGACTTTTAAGGCCAGGTGGATCTTTGGCCAGCATTTCCAACTTTTCCTGTATATAACTGAAAGGTATGTTTTCCTTCTGTAGCAGCCGTGAGAGAATATGCGAAAAGAAAACAACAGCAGTATGAATAAAGAATGTTCAAGACAAACCAAAGAAATCAGTTTGTTTTATCATTATGTATAACTAGCCTTTTTTACTTTCAGACCTTTTATCCATTATTTTGAAATGGCAAAAAATGTCATTGAGTTTTCGGTACACATTTAGATAAACACAGGACTGAAGCTAATTATTAATACATATCTACCATATATTTAGTACTGCTATTCGTACATGGTGGCTATCGACATAAAAACACAGATTTACAAATTGGTCGAAAAGGATTGTTTTTAATTAACAATTTGTATTTATGCATTGAAATCCATCTCACCTACTCAGCTGTCTAAAGCAAACGGCAGAGGACTGTAGTCAGCTTCCTATTAACCCTATGCTAAATATCTTTAACATCCTAAACGAATGCTATGCGATGGAGTTCTTATATGGTCTTACATTGCGTGCTGTTTACGTCTAACAGTTTTCAGACCGTAAATAGAATTTGTCCAACAGCGATAAGTAAAAAACAAAAATTCGAAAGAAATACGTGATTTACCTGAAACTGGACTTCATCACATTGAAGATTGCCGATTGTTAAAATATCCAAAAGTTCCTTCCCAGCATCTTGAAGGGTTACTTCCTTTTCCATTGCGTTTTGCTGTTGAGCTGAGCTATGTTCGTCGTAAAGAAGTCCACGATGACTTCTTTTCTCAGACTCTTTCGCGCTCTTCGTGAAGGTGCGAGGCACCGATGGAGATATTTCAGTACAACGCTTGACCCTCTCAAACGACTTCTGACTTTCTTTAATAAGTGTCTTGAAGGCGACAAAATTTTTTATCCGTCTTTCCCATGCCCTGCATATCAAGTGAGGTATTAAGTTGTCATCTTGTTTTAAAGTATGGCCACATATATCTTAACCGGCGGCAAGAAGTGCACGATTTCTCTTTACGAAAAGGTTTTTCGACCATAATCTGTCCCCAACCGCTCTACACAGCCGACATGAACTGATATCCACTGGCACAGACGATTTACATATCTTTTTTGGAGTTTGTTTGAAATTAATAGACGACATCTCGAAAAAACAATAACAGACGACATTTTCTAGCAAAATAAGGCTTTTCCCGCGCGAAGCGATGTTACAATTTCCACTCCCTACTGGGCTCAGTGTTAGTTCATTGGAGACAAACTTTAACTGTCCTGCCCCTCCCTTTAATCATTTTTCTGGAATCTGCAAAAATCTAGCAGGCACGTGACCAGCCGCAACCAGGGTACTTTCTCGAGGGAGGAAGAGAGAGGACCCTGGGAACGAGGTTGAAACAACACCTGATTTTTGCGCGGAATTTGTAAAATACAATTTTCGGCCGTCAAGTGAAAGGTAATCAGCAGGTGAGAGTTTTTCAGCAGACCAAAAGCTGATGATCCCTAGCATATATTAGGGACCAGCACCAACGACGACGAGCCCAGGGGACAACGACCGGAAGTAAAATTTCCCCTTACTGTGGTACTATGCATGCTCGATTCGTCGTCCATGTGAAGTTCAGGACGTCAAAACGTCAGGTTTGCCGTCCTGAGCGAACATGAGTATGTATTAATCTATTTACGCAGTGTTTCAGTCAGAAATTTATATCAAACTATTGAAATGAAATTTGGTTATTTATTGAACCTATTAGCTTTGTGTTAACTAGATTTTACGGCGAGTTTGATGTAGAAATCGTTGGTAATAACATTATTTTGGGTTTGTCGATTTGTCCGTAGTGAAATTTGCTTGTCAGCGAAAGTAGAAAATTAAATGAATTCACAAATTGAAAAATGACACTTTCTTTCATTTTCTTCTGGTTCCTATCTACATGTGGGCTTTCGCTTATGTTTTTAGGAGGGAATTTTATACCGTGAAAGTCGTTTTAGATTATATCGGCCCGAAAATTCGGGTTAGTTAATCTCTCCGAATAAAAACCTGTTATGTTCGTCCTATGAGAAATCGAGATTTTTCGACATAAATTCCTCATGTAGGACTAAAAGTTCGTTGTCATCGATAGTACCGTTTTCGTAGCTCAAGCGAAACTGGTCGTGGAGCTCGTGAAAGGAAGACATAACAAAATTTTTCGATAGTTTTGGGTCGATGTTTGCAAGGACTCAGCTCTATTTACATGTACTTGCACTTGGTTTTCACGCCGTGAATGACGTCCTCGAGCCAGTCTTACAGAAGTTTTACTCATCATCGTCGTCTCATTCATCATCGGTGTTAAGGTCCCTATTACTTTTCAGTTGACCGCCGAAAATTGTATTTTACAACTTCAGCGCAAAAATCAGGTGATGTTTGCTTATCATATCCTCCAGTCCTTACGTCCCACGTCCTCGAGTCCCCGCGCGTGCTCGCGTCCCACGTCCCCACGTCCCCCCGTCCCAACGTCCCCGCAACCCCGCGTCCCCGCGTCCCCGAGTCCTCAAGTCCCACGTCCCACGTCCCCACGTCCGAGTCCCGAAGTCCCCGTCCCACTTTTAGTCACACTCGAATCTTCCCAGTGCAATTCATAAACGAAAAACTCTCAGGCTCTCAAAAAATGCTCTGTCCCGAAATGATGTATTACATGTTCCACAAAATGTTGCCAAAAGATTACGAAAGAACCGACAACTCAATAAAGGAAAGGATATTAAACTGGCCAAGACCAATATAAGAAAGCAAGTTAAAGGTAATCTGTTGTCAAGCATATTAAGTCTAGGACGTACTTTTACACCCACAATAGCAAAAACACTTGGAATATCTGGTTTGGCTTCAGAAGGAGCTTCTCAACTTGTAAAAACGATAACGGGAGGAGGTCAAACAGGTGGTAGTTTTGTGATTTCTTTGACACCAAGTTGGTGCATTAAAAATAAATGATGACCTCTTGACGGAAAAACAAAAAAGTGAGCTGAGGAAGGGTTTGATCTCAAGAGACGATATCTTCATAAGACCAACCAAAACACAAAGTGGTGGATTTCTAGGTGGTTTGCTTGCTTCAATTGGTATTCCACTTGGTGTTGATATGATTGGTAAACCATTATTGAAAGTTATTACAAAAAAAGGAGCACCAAGATTGGGATTACCAAAATCAAGGGGTGGTTCAGCTCCTTAAATAGGAAAGCCGCCCCCTTTTATTGGTACTTGGGAAAAGATCATTGGACGAGGAAGTAAAAAGAAAGCTCAGGAAAGGGACTACTATTAGGAAAAACAGCTCATTCAACTAAATTCCAGTACTCGGACAAATACTATCAAACCAAAATTTCAAAAAAATATTCCGATGAGTAACCATGATTTAACAGAATCGTGTAAGTATCTCAGAATACCGATCATTGATGTTTTGTCGAGAGATCAAACAGTACCTTATAATCATAAACACATTTATTTACAATCTTGAACCTTCATATATGAGCGGATCTCCATTTTACCTTGGTTTTCGTTCAAATGAGATGTTTGAGTATTTTGAGCTTTAGGTAGGTAACACTGAGTTTTTAAGGCAACTCGAAGGCATGGAGTGAAAATCGACATTTCTCGTAACATTAAGCTCAAATAAGCAGTTTCTAGTCTAAACAGCTTTTAGTAGCTGAAACTGCGTTTCCGACAAGATTTGGAGATTTCAATCGCAAATCGTCATTTTAAATCGGTTTTTTCTCAAATGTAAAGTTTCCAGTATTTAGAGCTTTAGGAAGGTACCACTGTGTCTTGGGAGGGATAAAGGAAAAATCGATATTTTTCGTGCCATTACGCTCAACTTAGAAGTTTCCAGTCTAAACCGCTTGTAGCAACGAAGACATCGTTTCCGAGAACGTTTTGAGGTTTAAACTGGAGATCGTCATTTTAGGTCGGTTTTCGCTCAGATGTGCAGTTTCGTGTATTTTCAGCATCAGGGAGCTAAAACTGTGTTTTAAAGGCATTTAGTGAATTCGACATATCTCGTGCCTTTACGCTGAAATTAGCAGTTTACAGTCTAAAATCTATTTATTTAGACCGACTAGTGGATTTCCATCATTGTGGTTACCACTGTTAGTCTGAAAGCATCAGCGCGTGCGTAATTATAGAGAGTGCCCTCAACAAAATTTAGCAACCAATATTTCTTCCAGTCGGGTCGTCAGTAAGATTTCTAAACACAAATCAAATAAATGATTTTGGTTTATTTTTTTATTGCGTCACAGTGAAAACGCACGAGCTTTACCGGTTAACTTCGGCAAAATCCCTAGCTACCAATAACTAAAGGACTATCGTGTAACGCTTAATGCGAAAAGTTGGGCCCGAACCAAAGACTATTTCTTGATGGTGTGCCACAGTAAAGAGGGGATCAAGGGGAAGAAGATATGCTGGTCATTGACTTTTATTTTATTTGGTGGCTCCTACAGGAGCCGTTTTGTGTTTTGTTGACGCCGGAACGCTGAGTCTTCTTCACCGTCTACCCCTCGTCGGAACTGTAACTGATCCAGGACAAGTCGATTCTTTCTGTAAATGAAAAATTAACAAGAATTAGAGCCCATAAAAACCATAGTTCGGACGGATATTGTGACAATTAAGAACAACTCAAATAGAATTAGGAACGAGGCGATAAATCTAATAATCTTTACCTTCCTTCGCCTGCTGTTGTCGACTTCTTTCTCGGCTAAAGGTAACGAATAGATAGCTAAGATCAACAGGCCAAGTCCTTCTTGCTTGACACAGCGCCGGTTTTTAACCATTTCCAGACCACTGGCAACGGGGGCACTCTGAATGATCGTACTGCAGCTTTCTCTGATTGGCAAAGCGGATCGATATGGGTTGCTCTCGGCATACAACACATTTAGTGTTGATTCGACCATCCATCCGACCATTCATGCGGGAGAAGAATGTCGAGGTCCTCGGCCATCACACCAAATCTACTCCTTCCACGTCTAACGCCACCAAATATGTTTTCAAACACTTCTCGATCAATCGGAACTTTGACAGAGGTCCGCCGAACGTATCCCTTCTCTGGAGTGGTTCGAACAGACAGCTTCTGTCCTATCTCGCAGACCAGGTAATCGATGGCTTTTTCTCCTCCTGAAATAGACGAAGGGACAGTGTGAGTCTCAAAACAACAAACACCTACATCTGTACAAACAAATTCAATTGGTAATCACTACGATTAGCTTACCGTTAAGTGAAGATTGGCCATAGTTTTTTTATAGCGCTGTTACAATCTTCTTCCTTTACCCAACTATCAGCCGCACTTCCGAAACCTCTCCATCTCACTCGGTATTCTTTTCGGCCGTCAATGGACCTTACAGCCAAAACTTTTGACACTTTGTAGTACTTCGACATTATCGCTCAATGAGATCTAACTTCGACAAAGCTCAGAAAATAATGATAAACAGATTATTGAAGACAGTTTGCTTTAAAGCCAAAATGGAAAGAACGCCGTAAATTACCATGCGACAAAAGCAGCGCTAATTGCACGTAAAGTTCTTTATCACTTCCGATAAAAATACCCCGATGGTAAGCTCTGCAAATTTACCGTGGGAAAGCAAGCTTTTATCAGTATTTTGGGTGGTGTATAAACACTCCTCAACATTTTGAATTTATTTGAACTTGGGCAGGAGAGAAGACTCAAACATCTATTGAAGGGGAAATAGCAAATTGTGATATATGCAGTTGGTCAATGACTTTTGTTTTATTTAATGGCCCTTAAAAAAGAGCCGTTTTGTTTGTTGCCGATGGACTTGCTGAACTCCATCCGGTCTATGTTCTATTGACGAAAAAAAGGAAGGCGGAGCAATCTTAAAACTATCACCTCTTTGTTAAATGCCGCGCGCGCCACCAGACAACATTTTTCTTCTCTTTTCTTTTACGTTACGAGAGTGAAAGCGTAATAGTTTTAAATCTAACACCTCTTTTTTAAGAGCCGCGTTACCAACCGATGCTTTTCTTTTAAGACTCAATGAGAACAACCACACATATCCTTTTTCAATCCAACAGCTTAGTCGGGCGATTTTTCCAATGCAAAGCGCAAGTTTTCATACACGAAGCCTTTTCTATTCTTTCTTTTCATCTTGTCACGAGCACGGGACAAAGAAAAAATAATTTCTTTTCTTTCTCACTTCCGATAAAAATACCCCGATGGTAGCTCTGTAAATTTACCGTGGGAAAGGAAGTTTATATCAGTATTTTGGGTGGTGTATAAACATTCCGTCAATATTTTAAATTTATTTGAACTTGGCCGGGAGAGAAGACTCAAACACCACAAGCTAACAAAGAGCAATTTACAATAACAGAAACAGGGCCACTGGTAATTGAATGAAAAGCCGACCTTTAACGTCACAGTTGTTCAAATTCTTGGCGATAGTTAGGATTGGTCAATCTTAGGTGGGCACGCCTTAGACAGAGACCGTTTACCACCACCTGAATTAAAAATGCCGGTGCACTCAAGTGCTTTGCAAACAAAATTAACTCAGAAAACCACTTAAGAATATATCTGAATGAAAACTATTACAGAGGCTTACATACGCTGTATTTTGAGTTAACTTAACATATCACTTAACGAGAATTTGTTCAGTTAATCATGAATTCCTTTCAGTAATCTTTACACTGATTTCAGTAATCCCAAACAATGACACCAACAGTTAAGTGAGAGTTAGCATCAAGTCACAACATTCCTTTATTGTGTGTGTTATGCTATGGGCCGGTATAATAGTCTGAGACTACATGATTTTCAGCCTTCGAAAAAACTGTGAACCGTTTTTCATTAGAATTTTAAAGTATGGCCCATGCACACAGACGTCATTCGTGGGGCATGTGTAAGTACTCATTCCTACTTAATAGGAACAAAATTATAAACTGAAGATAGCAGCAACTTACACTGAGATTAATGTGTATTATCTTTTTTAAAAAGTTTATAGGGAGAGTGGATTGCGATTGATTTATTCCGAAGAGGAGCTGGACTTCCTAGAAGGGAAGTTTGCAAAGAATCAACTGTTAGATATCGAAGCTCCAAGACGCTTCGGAAGACGTTTAGGCGTAGATGAAAAGCGATGAAGGTTTGAAGACATCAATGTTCATCATGGTTATATACACAACTTAAACAGCCGTAAAATTGGAGCCGGCCGGCCTGAAAAAAAATCCAGGCTCGGACAATTGCAAACCATTCACTCATATGTAAAAAGCCTGATTCAAATGTCTTTGTCTCAGAGAATCTCTGCGAAGATTTTATAACAACGTTTTGGGTTGATTTTGTCGTTTTTCCGTCGTTCCCGGAGAAAACGGCGGGCGCTCCACGTCTTGTGTTTCCTTTACTCGCTGCATGTTAATATCTTGTCTGTTGCTTTAAATGGTTACATCAGAGATGCTCTGTCTCAAGAGGTTTTATAGCTCCTTTTACTTTTTGCTCAGATATGGTTCGCCAAAAGGAGGCGCCAGTATAGAGAGTGGGCGAAACTAAACCTGCCAGAAGGAGACCCAGCGGACCAAGCCGGCCACCCTTCTGTGTCCCACAATTGAACATTGGAGACTGCTTATGGTTCTTCTTTTCAACAGGCTGACAATTCAGATTTGAAATGCTGCCACACTTCTCAAGAAAATAAGGCACGTGATACACAAGAGCTGTATACACAGTGGGTGAAGCTAAACCTGCCAGAGGGAGACCCTGCGGACCAAACCATCGTGAAAGTCAAGGTGATTAGGACTGACTCACTGTTTTAAATGTAAATTGTCTTTGCACGCGTCATCATTGCGTCAACAGCTCGTGCTAGTTCTGTGTTTCTATCGACTTTTGGTATAAATCTACTGGCATTCTATCTCGAATGCTGTCTTGTGATTGGCTACGCTACTCACGTTCTATTCTGTGATAGATAGTGAGTAGCGTGGCATCGTACGCTTGGGGTCGCTTCTTTGTGTTTTCGAAGTGTCTATGAAGAGAATTTACTGAGATCGGTGAAAGTTTTGAACGATTATTAGATTTATACTAAAACATTTAGATTATTCGCTCTCGATTTCTATGCGTGATAGTTGACGAGAGCGCAACCCCCGTCAACTATCACTCGATAGAAATCTCGAGCTCATAATCTAATTGTTTAATAGAAACACGATTTTAAACCAGTCAGCGCGCGTAGTTTCTCGGGGCTGTTTTCTAATAAGCTATAGAAGTACACTTTTTATTGAATCTCGTTGATCATGACTTTTTTAGATGTGGTGGCTCCTAAAGGAGCCGTTTTGGTTTAGCCCTAAAAGAGCTGTGTTGTTAGCTCTAAAAAGAGCTGTTCCTAAAAGAGCTGTTTTTCTGCACTTCGTCTTGCTAGTTTCATCTCAGGTGGAAAGGATAGCACCATCACTTTTCTGAACAGAGGTAGCATACATCTAGCTACCACGATAACTCTTGAACCTACAAAATGAAGCAAGGAATCTGGTGAACCTCAAACTGATTGATCACATTTAATTATTTTTGGCAATATGATGTCAACAATAAACACTGTTTGGGAAAGCAAACCAGTTGATACATCCAATTTAGTCTGATGTGTATTGCTGTACATTTTTTAATCATCACTGGCCCTAGTGGTGATCCAAAATACTGCCTGCAGGACTCGTAAAAAGTTACTTAATAGTGGGTGTTCAATAAGATGTCTTTATAAAGTAAGGCATTACCTAGAGTTATCCTTCTTCTTGATTGTTGTGATATGTGGCTATGCTGCCAGTGTCTCCATTACATTTTCTTGCGTAGCTCCTCCTGGTTCACTCCAGGTTGTTTACCCTTGCAAACAACTTTCTGTTCTCCCTCTCCATGACCTGTATGGTGTATTTAGTCTGCCGGCCACCCTTCTGTGTCCCACGATGGAACATTCGAGACTGTTCATGGTTCTTCTTTTCAACAGGCTCACAATTCAGGTTTGAAATGCTGCCAAACTTCTCAAGAAAGTGAGGCACGTGATACACAAGAGCTGCAAAAAAAAAATAAGGAGGTAATGAAGAAATTTGTAACTGAGTAAATACCTAGTCTTGTTTCACTGTGTACGTCAAGAATGATTATAATTAATTTACAGTATAATCACCACCATCATCATCATACCGCCGACCGGTTAGCTCAGTTGGTAGAGCGCCGGACTTCTGTGCGGGAGGTCTAGGGTTCGAGCCCGGACCGGACCAACACTCAGGGTCTTAAAATAACTGAGGAGAATGTGCTGCCTTTGTGATGACATCTGCAAATGGTTAGACATTCTAGTCTTCTCGGATAAGGACGATAAACCGTAGGCCCCGTCTCCTGCATCTTCARGGTTATGGTCAGCAGGGGACGTTAAAGAACCCACACACTTATCGCAAAGAGTAGGGCATGGAGTTCCCGGTGTTGTGGCCTGGTCTTGTTCCGAAATTACATTGGGGGCATCTGTAAAAATAAATCCTCATTCGTTGTAATTGCAGTCTGTCTAAGACCCCCGCAAAGTATTGTAAAGCGCATTGAGCATATGGAAATGCGCTATATAAATACCGTCATTATCATCTTTAGCAAGTCGATTTATTGTTTTGATACTTCGCGTGCATTACTGTGTTTTGGTAAAAACAAGTTAAATAATATTTAATTGTTATATACCATGTATGTATGGAGTTACATCTTCATCAAAGTGTACAATTCTACAGAACTTGGCCCAATTCCTTGCTCGCTCCTTGAATTGCTCAGGGGATTTGTATTGTTCCTTGCCAGGCTCAGCTTCTAGCGCTCCAAATAGCTCACCAAACC